AACTTAACAATGTTTGTAAAGATCTGTCACATTGAAGCTGATGACATCATTAAAAAATACAAACTTCCAAATAGCCAATGTTGAATGGTAATGATCGCTTTAATGATCATTATTAACCAACTAGCTGTCCTCTAATCCCACTAATGAATTTCACATCGTGTGTTTGAGAGCTTTCTGCTTTGATCATTCTTGTCAATGATACGCTCCTCTGAAACCCATGATCCACAGGCACGGCAGGACCCAGCCATGTTATGTTACAGCAATCAATGTTCTTGTTATCGAATACTGACAAGTAAGCTCATTACTCAAGGAGAAATCCATAGATGAAAGCCACTTATTCATACTCCATTTCATCATATGTTCTTTTTGTGACACTGATTTGCCAAGATGTGTCATTGTCATCTTTTCTACATCAAGTTTCTCTGATAAGGACTGGCCCGATTTTTAATAACAAGTAAGCACCAGATGCTCACGGCAAGTACAACATAATGTATCACTAAATAATGTTCAGATACATTTAAATTCCAATCTAGAAGATGTTGTCTGTGTGGCAAGAATGTGTTGTGGTGGCGATCATTATCATTATTATCAGCGCAGATGATTAAATGTAATAATTAAAAAACTGAAATCTTGAAAAGAAGACAACATTAAGAAATCACCACGCTGAATATTATTATCAATGAATTAATTATTTCAAACTGTACTGCCATGCAGTTTCACATCTGCCGGGGAGGTGTCCACGTGAAAAATTCCTGTACAGATTATCACCCACTTGAGTCGACTAATTGCTTGCAGCTGAACGTTCTAATTGAGCCACAACTGTCCTACGGCTATTTTCATAAAATCATTGTGCTCATGAATATAATATGCCAGCAAGATATAAAAACAACTTGGAGTGCCAACGGGATCTATCAAACTCAGTGAAGCCTCAATCCAATTCTCCACACTTCAGGACCACATTAATTTTGGATGTTTAAAAGTGAACACAGTTTTCCACATAAGTGCTAATGCGATTTTTCCCACACACTTAAACTAGTAGGCCAGGGTAATTACGGCAACAAATAATTGTAGCTCTTCTTTCCTTTCTTGATAGAGAATGTACAGTACGAAATGTTTTTTTTTTCTCCATACAGAGTGTGTGCGGTGTGTTGCTCCATATATGGAACATTTAAGCAGGATTACCTCAGCAGAATGAAGGGCGCACAGCGGAGTTTGGACTTGTGGAGAAGGAAAGGGCCTTGAAACAAACATTACAATCCAAATAGGGAAATAAATCACCACTTTCTCATTTGAGGATAATTCTTTTTGACAGTAAAGGTATTACATTTCCTTCCTTTTTTAGTCTATTCCTGTAAATAAATTAAGAGATAGAAAATCAAATCAAATCAGTAATTAGTCCCAGATGCAATCTTGGACATTTGTCAAGTTGTCCTTGAATCTATTTCCATGACAATAAACTGTTTCTGATTACCCAAACACTGTTTTTTAAACTCCTGACTTTTCCTTGTGTTTTTATTTTAATTTTGTTTTTTATATATATCTGTTGTAACATATTGTCGTTTATTGATATTGTAGTAATGTGTTTTTATTACATGTACAGCACTTTGGCTCGACCAAAAATCGCTTTTAAATGTGCTATATAAATAAAACCTGATTTGATTTGATTTGATAAATACCTAAATATGAATGTAGGTCTTCGACACTGTGATTCCCCAGTTATACGGTCTATCTTAGCAGTGTACAGTTTCAAGAAGGGTCAATCGATGGGTGTCATGATATGATTGGTTACAATTGTGGGGAACTATCTTAGATGAGAACATGTTATATTTTGTTTTACAAAAGTAATTATTTTAGAAAATGTAATTGAATAATTTGGATAAATTATTATTTTATTTTTTTAATATGGTGGACAATAACACCGGTTGTGTGAGCTAAAGGGGTAAGAAAAGCATTTTGAATTGCACCTTAATTTTAAAATGTATGGCTTCATTTCAGCTAAATAAAAACATACACGGTGCATGTTGACATCCCTCAGAATAACTTTCACACTGACAAAGAAGTTATCTATGTATACCACTCTATGTAAATATAAACCTGCCACTTTTTAACATTTGATGGCCTTTTTTGTGTCACACGAGAACTCATGAGGTTTTTCTTGTGTGATTTTTGAACCCACACACCTGACAGGGACCCTTTGTATCACAGGACTTTTTCTTCAAACACATATTTCTATTTTTTCTCCAAGTACAATAGCTCAGCAGTGGCATTGAAATGCTAAAATCACATTTAGAAAAACATCTGATGTACGGCCTCTGGCACACTCAGGATATGCATATGAGGAATGAGCCGGAGTATGCACAGCCGTCCTCTGCGGGCGCTGGTGGAGAGCGTTTCTACGAGCCTGTTGTCAGGTGGCTCCTGCTGGATCACTATTTGTGCTTCAGTGGGCTGTTTCTGTACGAGCGAGGTTGAGGGCAGCTTAATACACAGGGCCACAAGCGGAGAGCAGGAGGGCTGCAGCCTTTCAAGACAGAAAATGTGAGTCAGCTATCTGACTTTATCAAATAGGGCTTGACAACAAACCCCCTGAATACAAGGGGCTTTACTGTTTTATTTCATTATTTCTTTTTATTTCCCAAGGCGGCTTGCCAGAGTTGCTGACGGTCTCATACCAACCAATTTCTCTCTCTGTGGCACTCGTATGTCATTCCATCCCGTGCACTTTGGCTCAGATGGCATCCCTATGTGACAACTGTTCTCGTGTTTAAGGTCTCATGTATACGGTGTGTGACCAGTGGAACCCTACTGAGTTGCAGGCATGCGCGCAAATCCATGCACCTCCGTGGGTTTGTTTTCCAATTCCACCATCAATCATCCGTCTTTGCACATGAGTGATAGCTACAGAGACAGCAGCTTTCAAATATGGGCCATTTATGTGGTCAGTGATCAATCCTTAAATCTGGGCTGCCAAGAGCCTGCCCTTAATCTGACCAACAGGATTTACCAAAGTAGAAAATAAGTATCCTTAAAGTCAAGGAAAGCCAGTAGTGAAAACAGTATTCAAATAATTTACTTAAATGAAGTAGCAATAAACACTTATTAAAGTTTTTTATCGCTTGCAAAACTCTAGAAATCAGTCTGCCGATTTATATTCATAGTTATTTAATTAAATTATGATTTTTGTATATGCATCTAAGAAGTCCTAATGTTGTAGTTGGTTGAGCTGGAGCAAGTTTTGAATATTTTACATTTGTAACAGTTAAATATAATAAAAAATTTAAAAACGTGTGATGCTTTAAAAAGTAAAATCTAGTATCTATTTAGTGGAGTAAAAGTATAACTACTTAAGATGGTACCTACCTTAAAGGTGGGGTAGGTAATTTTGGAGAAACCAGCTCGAGTGCGCTAGAATTTGAAAATACACAACCGGAAAAAATCTGCCACTTCCTTACAGAGCCCCTCCTCCAACACGCACGAATGCGCACATGACCAATGAGGGCACGAGATAAGTTTGTGCACAGATGCAAGGCTGACAGGCAGGTAGGCCATCCAGTTATTTTAGCCGGGCCGGCTCAGATGATTGGTCGTGCTTTTTACAGCGCCACGGCTTCCACAGATGAAATTGTTTTATGTATTTATTGTCAAAGCATTTAATGTATTCATTGCTATCGGGATGTTAAGAGCATTCCATGGAATATAACAAAAAGTGTTTCTGAAATAAATTACACCTTTAAGTATTTCATTTAAATTGCTTTGTTATTTTTACCACACATGCCCCGAATAATAATAAATCACATTCGGCTCAAAAAAAGGCAGATGTAGGTAAATACTGTCATTGCATTTGATGTTCAATAAATTGTTTTTAGTTTTTGATGTGACGAATTAAACAAGACAATGCCTACAATGTATTCCTGAACTTTTGATCATCTAATCTATAAAAGCTATAGCAGTTGCCAATTATCCTTTCAACATCACCACGATAAGTCAACTTTCTATAAAAGGAGCCAGAGGGTTTGTTTGTGCAGCTGGACAACAGCCATCCGTTTTTGGTGGCCAGAGTTGAGAGGATGCCTGCTGTGTTATAATCATTTATGATTGAATTTATAACTAAAACAATTGTTAACATATTTCACGTAACATGAACTACTTTTTTCGGTCTCTATCTCTTTTGTGTTACAGATACACAAAAGCACACACACTGTTACTCTAACACACCACACACACATTAAATGGATTCTGCTAAGAGCAAGTGGCCCAGCTTCAGTAATAAGTCAAACCGTGATAGACTAATGTTAGCATACTCCATCCAGATTGGACTTTTGTCAGGTAATGTATTCAACAGAGTAAATTACAGTGGGCAGAATAATTACCTCCAGCAAGTTGGATCCGATCTGCAGTCATGTCAAATAGTGAAATATTGAAAATAGCTTTTAGTTGTAGTGAATGTTGTTGAAAGGTTAATTTGTTATGTTCATATTTTGAAATGTGAATTTAATGTCCATTGTCAGTTTATTGCTTTGCTCTTTGACTCAGATTTCTTTAAAAAATAAATAAAATGCTCTACTCAAAAACAGTTGCTAATTCTCTCATGTTGAAGTTGAGCTATCTCGGTGCTTACTAACATTAATGTCTTCTAGGTTATGGATGCTGACAGCCTACTGTTGCTTTTTCCTTTTTTTTTCCTTCACACTAACATTCCCTTTTGCTATATTCGATGGAGTAAATCAATCCAGCTGCAGCCGTGTTATTCTCCTTGGCAGGAAGATTTGACTCCAAAGGCAAGAAATGTGGAGGATTTCTTAAGAGAATGAAAGATAGATGGGCAACAGAGGCAACCAGACAAAATGAAATGGTTGGTCCGTATACGGTTGCTCAGGGCAACTAGGAAACTGTAAGTGTTTAGCCCCGTCAATTATTTTCTCTGAGTCCTGTAAGTTTGGCAGATGCCTCATTTTGTGATAATTTGTTTTGGTCCAGCACTGAGATCTCAGCAGTTTTACCTTTGTGACATGATCTTGAAGGCATCTGGAAGATAGCAGTTGACGTTCTCCATCTGGAAAGGGTCAGCGTCGCAGATCTTGTCGTCCGTTCGGCCATAGTTGGCACTTTCGATCATTATGACATCACTTCCTGGACACCGCAGATCGATGGGGTAACCCTCACAAGACAGCTCTCTCCGTACTAAGCCAAATGGCAGGGCGGCTCGGCTAAACCCTGAGGGAGAAGAGAGAGAAAGAGCTCTATCAGGGCAAATCGAAGGGAGCTGTGTGGTTGAGCTGACACAGAGAAAGACGGCATGAAAGAGAGAAGACACAGGATATCAGAGCTGGATTTGCCAGATATATCTAAAAAGCAGCATTTTGTGCATGTGCCACCCTTTTTATTTAAAAGGCTGTTACTAGCAAGATGACTAACGCTGATATGAGGATAGTGAACCTTGGATTGGACCACCAGCCTGACATACATCAGTATATTGAGTGAACATTTTAGATCTCAACCGCACCAGTGAGCTAATGGTGTTAGTATGTCATCCCTGCGCCCAACTGGTCCTGGAAAAATCGATAATTGTCATTAAAGTCTAGTTTGTCGGCTAAAATGTCTGGAGCATTGTAACCCCTTACGACCGTTTATGTACAGTAAGCACACTGACACAACACTAATAAGAAAACCCAACAGCTGCTGTGATGGGGAGAAAAATATATAACTTCATTAAGAATTCATTTTGTGCTTACTTATTTATTTATTTAAACAATCTGCCACCCCAGTTGTGTCATTTGTCCTGTGTTTCATATCAGTAAGGGACCACAAAGCACATCACTAGAGACTTGTGGTTATCTTGAAAAGCTCATTTTTCCACCATAAATGAAAAAGTACAGCAAGCATCTGTTCAACATGACTGCAATTCAATCCACTTAGCTTGCAGTGCTGACAATCGAAGGGCGGGATATTGAGAGTTCGGAGTGTGTCAACTACATACATAAAATACAGCTTTTTAAACATGCTCAAAAGCCTCTATGTCCAGAATGAGGTTTAGTTCTCGCAGGACAACGAAGAACATAAAATATTTACTCTACTTCTTGTGCACTCATTTGTTTGGCACCTGGAGAAGTCAAACTGATCAATTTATGCAGTTTTTCCAATTACAAAGCTTTTTTTTTTTATATTTGCCATGTTGTGAGACACTCTCAGTGTGACAACAGTTTACTTAAAGCTTCTGACTCCAGGTCTGATAAATCGACCTAACAAGGCCAGGTTTATTTTCCCCTGTTGGACGCTTCATCAATTAACTACCAATATAATTATCTTAGTCTGATTAAATGTTATGGTATAACGGCACTAGATTAGCATTCTGTATTGTATCCCTCGTCAGGAAATACTACTGTGGCATTTTATAATGGAAGATAAATGTCAGTTTGTATTGCATGAGCCTCCGTTTGTGCACCAACCAGGCACACATTTTACTCTCAGGGTGAACAAAGGATATATCTGCATAGAGGAGGGCAGCTTGCCTATTTAACCTCCATAAGACTTCATTTGTCCGAGAGCTTACAACACTCTAAAAAGTCTTCTCTATTTGTTCTTTTTGACAGCAAACTTGTGACCAATAGGCATGAAAAGATAAAGGCTTTCACATATGATAGGTTTCAGCCATATTTCATTTTTTCAGCAACTTTTCCCTCTAGAGTCAAAAAGAAACGCTTAAGGTGATACACAATGTATCAAAGATGTTGTCTTGAGAGAACAAAACCCAGGAGGAGAAATATAAAAACACCACATGTTTGGAACAAGACTTGACAGCCAATCTTGAGTTGATGCACTTCAGCAAAGCTCCTTCAAAAGTGAGCAATATGTTGTTTAGGAAGTTACTATAACAACCTATGTAAAACATTAATCCATGGCACAGCAACATTTGTAATACTCATATCCTTGTATAGTGAAAAAATTAAATTGTAATAATTGAAATAGCTATCAAATGCACAAGCTAAATAAATACACATAATACATCCCACCAATGAATGTACATTTAAATATAACTATTTTCTTAAACAAACCGTGCATTTATTTCTATTAAGTTGACTGAATCCTTTGTTGTACTGCTATAGAGGTCAGATACACTACACATGGATCAATTGTGCAGCAGTTACGTATGACTGGGTGGGATACATTACCCTGCACTGGCCTATTTTGAGGCTGGAAGTCAACTGGTTCTTTGCCCATATGCAAGACCTCCGAGTTTGATCTCCAAATCCGCAGCCGAACCCACTGATGCTCTGCGTCCCAGGAACACTGTTATAACACTTAAATCCCTCGGCAGAGCCTTCACAATCTCAGCTTCTGGTTTAAAGATTTAGAATTAATGCAGTCTCTCTGCTTGAGTAGGAAAACAGACTGGTGCAATGAGGAGATAAATGTGTACTGAAGGATACTGAAATGCACTAAGCAACTTTTCAACCATGTCCGTGACAGGCCCTGTAATAACGGTGCATTTTTGTGTTCAAATCTCTGGAAATCAAACTAAATTGCTGTCATCTAGGCACACTTTATTAGCCAGCTGGGTGGGTGCATCATGGACCAAAGCACACTCGTAAACAACCTCAAAAAGCCTCTCCCCATTGATTAGACCCGAGGCTGGACTACTTTTCACTCTGGTGTCGGATGGTATTTTTGGTCCATGGTAGATGAGTGACAAGGACAAATCTATACAGGACACCCAATATTTTAGCAAACAACGGCTTCAAGTTAATGTTTGCAATTAAGTCAGCAATGTTTTGGTGTTTTCACCATGTTTTGTACAATTATTTATTTAATTTTGGAGATTCCTCAGAAAATATCTTCTCCACACTGTGGTTGTGTGACCCAGCTACATCATTTCCACCACAGCATTTATATTCAGAAGTATCCATTAGTTAAACAGGCAAAAGGCAAACATAGTTGATACTGCTACACTGACAAATCTAAATCAGCTCCTGCTATAATGATTTTTTGTATAAGTTTTTCTGTGTTATATAATGGAGGGTTAATGTGACAACTTCATATAAATCCTCTTCCTCAGTTTTCATACAGACATTATGAAGACACAAAAACACCATTGATCATTTTTTGGCACGGCAAGGCATTGCAATTACAAGAGAATAATGTGATCACAGTAAATCCCACACAAACAAAATACAATACTTACTGTCTCACTTAACAAAATTAATTAATTATTCTAATGAGCCAGAAAAGTAATCATTATTTTGCTCATGGGTTCATTAGCATAATTATTCAATGAATGCATGATATGAAAATTATTTACTTTCAATACGGTAAAAGTCAACCATGCCAAGAGTATCAATATGAGATGGATATTAAAATATGGAACATCACTTTTCCTTTGCACCCGTTCTGATGATCACTTGTTGCTATAGCGTGTTTTAGAGGCTTCTGAGCAAACAAAATGGCGCGCACCACTGGTGAATGGGTGCAAAAACAGAGCCGCATGACTGAGAGGAATCTTTACTTGTGTTTGTCACACACATACACACAGACTCAAAGGGAAACTCGGCACCCTCCTCTCCTCGGAAGCACACATTTCAGACCTCCTTGAAATATGAGATGTTATTTCACTAGCTTTGATATACCTTTACTCTTTGATCGTGCATCCGAACCAATGACAAGGGCTTAAAGGAGCGATGCTTATCAATCGAACACCTGAAAAGGAGGAGTTTTACATTCTCTACACTAATTAAACACTAGGGAGCAAAAGGATCAAGGCATCGTCAATACAATATTATGTGGGAAGCTCATTGTGTGACCATGGCAACATCGTGCACCAGAGACATTTCTGGTCAGATCCTTATCATGGCCAAGCCAATACTAATCACGCATTCTGGTCACCCATCCCACCCACCACCACTACAAAAGCATTTAAATTCCTCTTCATCTTCTATGTAGCGAGCATTTAGCGGAGCAATGGACAGTGCCATTGCACAATCCTAACTATTCTTTCTTTCCACCCACATACTGAAATTACATTTTAATAACACGTTGAAATTAGAATTAGAGACACTTTTCTGTGCGTTAGGAAGCAGCTGTTTAGTGTCTTGAAAGCACATGATCATTCAACCTTTTGACACATGCTTATTGTACATGATAGTAATTGACATTGATTGGTGCACAGGACCTCTATTTTCATGGGTTATAGCACTTTATTACACCAATGAGGATCCTCAATTTAAAGCTTCCCAGAATGGCATTTACTACCATGTGTAACCTTTGCGATTACATTAAACCCGTACAGAATCTGTAGCTGAAGAACCGCATGAAACTCCAGTATGTAAAGTGGATCCATTATGTTCCGTCTCTTTGGTGCTGTAATGTTTTAATTCATTTTTTTTCCCGCAGATGAGCCAAATCAATTGGAAAGTGACCATCTGGTAGGATATGAGTGTCAGTGAAGCAGAGTTAATGAACAAAATGTCTTCCTATTTCACACAAACGAGGTGTCATTAGGATCGTCATCAGCCATGCAGAGACCTTCTCCCATGTAGTCCCTTGAAACTAGACATTACCATGATCAAACCCAAAGGGACAACAGACATAGAGAACATGTCGAGTACACACTGATAAAATGCAGCCTCTGAACAGCCATATGTTTAATGAGGGCAACAAACTTGAATCTTTCTCAACAAGAAGCATCCCACTTTTTCCTATTGCTGTTTATGCGGCATGAATAAAAATACGTTTTTCATCAGGACTATCTTGCCTCCGGTAAATGTTTTTTTTTATCAAAATGACCCTTTGAAACTTGAATTACACATGCTTCAAGAGTGAGTCCAGGGGCATAGCAGAGGCTGATCAAAAGGCCCATTCAGCCACTCACGCTGCCATCATTGTGGCCGGAGCACAAAAGAGGTCTCCAGATTATTTTTGATGTGAAACCAGATAATTTTTCTGTCGGAGAGCCAATGAGAAATGTGACGGGGACGCTCCGGATGGTTGTCGCCTAACGTTAACGCGGCCCCTTTGATTTTTCTTTGCTGATGAGAACTAAACAGCTGCTTGTAAATGAGCTAGCATTTTTGCCTGGCCCGCCATTATTCTGCAGTCCTGAGCCGACAAGGTCGCTTGCTGGGGGGATTTGGGGTGAAAGAAAAGTGTGGCCTATAGCATTAGCTAGGAGCCACAGGAAACGCAGCTTGAGTCCTCCAGGTTCTGCCACCCCACCCCTTACC